GGGATGGGGATGGGGATGGAGATGCCCCGCGGTGGGTGCCCCCCCGCCCGCTGTGCTCCCTCAACAGGAGCTGCTGGTTCAGCCGCAGCGATGCCCCCGTGCTCCCGTGCTTGGTTGGGAGTTGTTTAGTCCTATAGGGAGAAAAAACACTCAGTGTAACCAGCATCCCAGACACAGCATGGGTGGCATCTCCCTAGCTCCAGGGGCAGGCACCATCCAAGGCTGGATCTAGCAGTGCTGCGTTAATGGTTGGACTTGTTGATCTTAGAGGTCTTTTCCAAGCTTAATCATTCACTTTCCCATCACCTTTGCAGGTGTCTGCTCTTCTCCCACCCCGTGGCTGTGGACATGGTGGTCCTGAGGACTGGGCTCTGCCCTGGTCTCACTGAAGAGATGATCCAGCTTCTCAGGGCCAACAGCATCAGGACAGGTAATGGGGTGGCAGTGGGGGCTTGGGCTAAGAAACATCATCCTGTGTGCATTTGGTGTGCCTGCATCATCCCACAGCCTGGAAGGGTGGTGGGGGTGGAATATTCCTCCATGTCCTCCTTGCTGGGTGTCTTCTGGGTCCCCCTGAGTGGATATGATGAGTCAGGATTTCTCCATAGGAGCAGGAGAGTGTTAGGACAGGGTAGGGATCTCTGCAGAGGCTCTTTGAGAGTTGATGAATTATGGCTTTTCAAAGGTATTTTGGGAGGGTTTGTGCATTTTTCTCCTCTGAATAAAAAGTCCAAGCTCCTGGCACATTGTATTCTGGGCACCTCCTGCCTTTAGAGGGGAAGGAAAAAGATGGTGCTGGGCAGCTCTTGAGCAAAACAGGGAGAATTTAAACAGCTTCTCTCCCTTCTCTGTTTTGCAAGATTCAATATGTTTTGGAATGAGTGGTGGGGCCATCTCAGAGGAAAAACTCCAACAACCTATCTTGTGGGGTATTCTGTTCATCCACTCACAGGGTAGGCAGAGGACACAGACACTTTGCCTGTGGGTGCAGGTTTTGTTGTCTTCTGGTGTTCATGGTCTGACCAGGTTTGGCTTCCAACCTTTTGTCCCTCATGTTATTTGCAGTGGTGGACTTTGTGTCATCAGACCTGGAGAACATTGCCCAGAAGTGTTCCCTGTCTTACAAGGTAAAAGGGACTCCTGAGTCCTGGTACACTAACTGGGGAGCTCAGAGCTGTTCAGCTAATGGACAAGGATGGGCTTGTCTGTAAGGGCCTTCTCCAGCAGATGTTGTTGGCCCTGGACTTCCTCAGTCCTGTTTCCAGGCATCTCTCTGCCCCCTCAGGCACTAGTTGCAGTGAGACGTGTGCTCCTGGCCCAGTTCTCTGCCTTCCCTGTCAATGGAGCAGACCTCTATGAGGAGCTCAAGAGCTCCACAGCCATCCTGCCCACGGGGAGCCCAAGGTGGGTACATTGCCTGGTGAGCCAACAGGTCTGCCCAGGGCTGGGCTTGCTGCACAGGGCCATGGTTGACCAGCAGAGGCTTTCAGTTTCAGTGTGGTGATGCCCCAAACAGGCTTGGTGGTCTCCAAACCATCCCCAGGCACTTGTCTGCATTTGGGAATGGGAATCTAGGGACAAATGTCTGGGAACTGCTGCTTCCTGATGTCCCTGACATTCTAGCTGAAAGGGTGTTGGTAATCCTACCTTGTGATCAACCTGTAGCCTGGACCAGCTGCTGGACTCTGGGCTGTACACGGGGGAAGTGACAGAGCTCATGGGAGCACCAGGCAGTGGGAAGACACAGGTGAGTGGATGGAGGAGAGGGGAGAGGACAGGTAGAAGATGATGCCATCAGGCATGTGAAGCAGAGGGACCTGGGGGAATTGGCTGACACCCAGTTCCTGTCCCTCCAGGTGTGCCTGGGCATTGCAGCCAGTGTGTCTCTTGGCCTCAAGCAGCACGTTCTGTTTCTTGACTCCACGGGGGGTTTCACTGCCTCCCGTCTCTACCAGATGCTCCGAGCCCAGACAGAGGATGAGGAAGAGCAAGTAAGTTCAACTGGAATTGATCCCTCTGCTCACTCTTAAACTGTCTTTGCTCTTTCTTGCCTGCAGACAACCCCCAAAGAGTTTGTCCAGCTTTGCTTTTGTCCCCAGGGATTGGTCTTTCTTGCCTGCAGACAACCCCCAAAGACAGTTTGTCCAGCTTTGCTTTTGTCCCCGGGGCTGTTTTGAGTCCAAACTGTTCCTCCCATGGCCTAGTGAGTGACTTGCTCAGGACAGACACTGCACTGTGTTGTTTTGCTTGGGAGAAGGGAGGACTTGCTGTAGTTGCTCACACTTTCACTCCCTGAACTCAATCCATGCTGCTTCTTCCATCACTGCAATAGGGACAACAGTGTTCATGAGGTGGAGGCAAATGTGGAAGAATAAGGGTCCTTGGCTCCATGGCATGGTGTGAATGCAAAGACCTTCTGGCAACTGGGGCAGGAGGGATATGACAAGTCCTGGAGGGGGTGAGGCTGTTGGTGATACCACTTTGTGCTTCAGGTGGAGGCTCTGCAGCGGATCCAGGTGGTCCGTGTGTTCGACATCTATGAAATGCTGAGAGCCCTGCAGGAGCTGAGGGATCGCCTCTCCCAGCAGGTAGGAGTAAGGGTCTGGGCCCCTCTCCCTTCCCCAGAGCTGCAGGGAGGGCAGCAAGGCTTGTGTGCCTGATGAGTGACACCAGATCACCTCATCCTGGGGGCATGTGAGCCTCTGTGCAGCTCACAGCCTCCAAAACTGTACTCCACATTGCACATGGTGCTTCCTTTCAGGTTGTGAGCTCCATGGGACCTCTCAAGATCGTGGTGATTGACTCAGTCTCAGCTGTGATTTACCCACTGCTGGGTGGCAAACAGTCAGAGGGTGAGCTGCATCAGTAGGGTGTGCCATGAGGCTGCGGAGCTCTCTGCTCATCCTGAAGAGCATCTTCCTCCCATGTGTGCTGTGCCTGGAGCTGGGACAGGATGCATGTGGATGTGACTGCTCCCAGCTTTTCCTTTGGGACTGAATAAAAAGGGAGTCTGTTTGCAGTGTTACCAGCAAATGTTCAAGCTGGCTGTGGCCATGCACACTCATGTCAGTGGTCTGAAACTCAGACAGAGGACAGGGGAGGCACTGAACTGTTTGTCCATATATTAAAACCTCTGCTTGCAGTATCACAGATACAGTATAGAGGCTGGCACAGTTTGCAGAGCTCCCCTGAGGATCTTTCTGCTAGAAAGGACCATAAATCAGGAGCAAGAATGGCAAGGAGATCCCTCATCTTTCAGAGGGTCTTGCATACCTGGGTGGCAACCAGTGCTATCACAGGAGGTCCTCTTGCAACCACAAGTGTAGGAAATGAAGCTGTGTGCTGGAGAGATGGATCCTGTACTGCTGGTGCTTTTGTAGGGGTTTTGTGGCCTTGGGGTTTCTGAGATAGGAAAGGAAGGGGATTGGTCCAGTGAAGATGTTCATGAACACAAGTCCTGGCAGTAAATCTAGTGCTCATGCAAATCTAGATGTTACCTGCCTCAAGATGCTCGTTGAGGGTTGATCCTCAAACACCCAAATGCTTTGTCCTCCTCCAGGTTTGGCCATCATGATGCAGCTAGCCAGGGAGCTGAAGTCTCTGGCCAGAGAGTTCAGCCTTGCTGTTGTGGTGAGTGTTGCTGTGCTGTGTCCTTCATTTGCTAGTGTGTGCTGTGGTGAGGAGCCATGGAGAGGCTTTGGAGGCCCTGGGAGAGGGGACCCCACTGCCAGCTAAGCAGGAGTAAGAAGTCTGTACCCCACTGTGTGCTGCTTCCTGATGTAGCTCTGCACCTCTGCAGCCTAGAGATGTCTTGTTCAGCAAGTGTGGAGCAAGACCAGGGCTGGTTTGCTGCCTCCTGCTATTGCTCTCCTCAGCCAACAAGGCATTCACAGCATTGAGCAAGGCAGAGTTAAGTACAAGGAGATTGAAAGGTTGTTTGTATTTATTTTTGATATAACACCCTTCATTTAAGGGGCTGGGCAGCTTTCTGGTTAACATCTTGGTTACTTTGAAGGAACAGCAGGGCATTGCATCATCCTGAGGGTGCTGAGGACTGGAAGTTGCCCTGCTCCAGTCTTTCCCAGCTCTTGGCCAAGCAATTGCTTTTGTCAATACACCCAGACAGGTTATTGGGACCACAGTTAATGTCTGAACTGGGAAGCCACAACAGAAAATGGTCTGCTGAGCCTGGCACTGGGAGGCATCAAGATAGTCTTGCCCTTTGCTATTGTAAAGTGACAAGGACAGGGTGTCTGGAAGGACACTTGGAACCTCCAAGTTAAACTTTGTGGGTACCTTCAGCACCAGGAGTGATGCAGCTTGCAGATACAAGTGAGCTCCTATCTGTCTGGGACAGTTGCCTGAGCTGTATTTAGAGGGAATGGCATGGGTGTACCAAGGAGGAGGGCTCAAGATGGAGAAGGAAAAATCTTGATAGATATAGCAGACTGGCCATGGTCTCCTGGTAATCTCTAGTGCTTCATTACACTGAGTGGTACTGCTTTCCCCAGGAACTGATAAGCCTGTTTGTACTGCAGGTGACTAACCAGGTGACAAGGGACAGCAGCACTGGTGCCCTGAAACCAGCCCTGGGCCGGTCCTGGAGTTTTGTGCCCAGCACCAGGGTGCTGCTGGAGAGCAAAGAAACTACCTTGGAGAAAGCCACCACAGAGCGTGTTGCCTCCTTGGCAAAGTCACCCCGGCAGGTGAGACTCCCTGGACAGGTCCCTCTGGGAAGAAAGGAGCAGCTGTGTGACTTGGCCTGGCTTTGGAGCAGAGGGAGGCTCCTGCTGGGGATCAGGCAGGATCCAGCCTCACTGGGTGAGCCGTGGCAATGGGAGAGGAGCACATGAAGCCTGGCTGAATGCTGTGGGAGGAAGGAGCATCTGTTCCCAGCAGCCTGAGCTTGTGTGTTAGGCACCTTACATGAGTGGCACCACTTCCAATCCAGGTCACCATGTTCCTTGTGCTTGTCTTGCTCTCCTGATGGCGTGTGGGCAGTGAGAGTCCTGTGGAAATGGCTCTGACACCTGCAGAGGTGACTTTGGCTTGAACCCTGTCTGTGTACAGGCAGCACTGCCTGGGCCTCCCAGCTCTGAGCCTGATCCAAACAAGTTTGGGTGCAGTAGTATGCTGGGCAGCAAAATGTATCCTGGATGTGCTAAATAATGATGTCTGGGGACGTTTCAGAGCAAGATGTTCTTTTCTTGCTAAATTGCATTGTCTATTTGTATCTGCATTCAGCAGACCCAGTTAAAATGGGGGCACAAGCAGAAAGAAATCCTCAGGGGGGTGTAATTGGGGATTTTGGGCTCTGGGACAGGTGATGGAGTGATGTAGACACCAAACAGTGTGAAGTTAAACTCATCTCTGTTTCTCCTTGCAGCCTACAGGGATACAGGTGGAGCTGAACATTGAAAATAGTGTTATGCCAGAGCCAAGCCCGGTGACATCCACACAAGGGCCCTGATATGATCGAAGAGCAACTGTCAAGGTCCAGGAAAGCTGCTCAAAAGCAGAAAAGCACACTGAAGGTGTTATCAGTTGACTGAGAATCCTGCATCCCTAGGAAGGGCAAGCATGAAGAAGCTCTTGTTCTTCTGCACTGGGTAGAAACTGAGCATGGGGTTTTCTGGGGATCTCTGTGCTCAGCAGATGTGGGCTGGGCTGTGTTGGCAGCATGAAGCCAGGTCCTGTTCTCTGCTGCAGGCTTATCCCCACAGAGCCAGTCCTGTCCTCAGGTATTGGCAGGAACCAGCTGGCTTGTTCCTGCACAAATCTGTGACTACCTGTGGTGGTTTTGTTCCCCCCATGACTCACTGCCCTCTGGTCTTGGAGCTTTCATGGTCCTTGGGCAGCCCACAGTGCTGTTGGTTCAGGAATAAAGGAAAGCTGTTGCACACTGCTGTGGTTGTTGAGAGCTGGAATTCAATTAATGGCATTTGCTGGGAACTTAATTAAAACTCTTGAGGTTCAGTCCCCAGCAGGACTGGGGTGGGACAGGTTGCTGATGAGCAGGGACAAGGCTTGATCTGACCTTCCCAGAGTAACACCAGGCCTTGTGGGGAGCTGCTGGTGTTTGGGGGCACTGCTGTGCTGCATAAAGAACTGCTGATAACTGAGAGAGGTTCTGGTGTGGATCAGCTGGAGCAGATGAATCCTGGCTGACACTAGCTGATCCTGCCTGATGCTCAGGGACCTATTCAATTGCACGTGGTGATGTTTAAAATAATCTCTCCTTGCTCCAGTGCTTTCCAGCTGCTCTCTGCCTGCTCTGGACAACCTCCTGGGTGCCTGTGTGGTGCTGGGGAGGAGATAGGAGGTTGGAATGAAGCGTGGTGTTTCCTCTCGATCCCTGATGTCTCAGACTTCCTCATCTACTAACAAACCTCAGTAGGTGAGCTCAACCATGGTTTGCACTTTAAGGCTGCTAGTGTAGAATTTGGGGGCTGGGATTAATCAGGACATGCTCATTATACTAATAACACAGCAGCACAGCTCCTGGAGCCTCCCGAGGCTGTGCTGGGCAAAGAGGAGTCTGATTTGGCCAGAATTGAGGTGCTAATTTCTCCAGAGTAGACATTACCAACATACAACCCTGTATTCCTCAGTGAGTAGCTGCTGTGGGGAAAGGGCAACTGAAAGGAGTATGGGAATGCACATTTTGGTTTCTCAAGAGGCAGTGCCAGGTCTCAGCATGGAGTTTTGTTTTATCCATTTGTCAGAGCCATGTTTCCTGTGAAAACAAGCTCTTGGTGTTCCCAGGGCTGTGATTTAGGGGGCAGGTCCCACCTCCTCCATCGTGGCCACCCAGCCCTGTGCACGTGGCCATGGGAAAGGCCTTGCTCCCAGCAGGTCCTGCTGAGCAGGGGAATGTGCCAAAGCAACGTGAGCTGAGCCATTAAACAGTTTTCTGTAAAAATAATGTATTTAAGGTTGTGTATTTGTTTGCATTTCTGAGATGCCCACACTTGGGAGGGGAGGTTTGGCTCCAGGGATTGCAGCCTGGCTGGCTGGAGTGAGGAGGAAGATGGTTTTCCTGTCTGCTGGAGATCTGTGCTGATGTGGCTGGTTCGTACAAGCAGGAAATTAGCTTGTTGCGTCTCTTGGAGCTGCAAATAAAGAGCTGGTACAGACAAATTTCAACCAAAATAGTGTGCTACTGTTTTATCTCTCTGCCTGAGGTTCTTGGGGGGTGAGTGTGGAGCAGGGGTGAGCCAAATAAAAACCTCTTTGGTTATATTTAAACCAAGAGGGCATTCTGGATATTTCCTTCCCCTAACCAGCATGAGGATGAGAAGGGGAACCATCCACTTTGAATCCTCACAAGGCTCAGCATGAGTCCAGCCATGTGCCCACTGTGCATTTCCCCATGACCCTGAGAAATGACAGAACTCCACTCTTGCCCTCAGTCACCAGGCAGTCATGGGATGGTGATTCAACAGAGACATTGCCAGTCTGTCAGGAAAGGTGATGATCTCAAGTATGTGATCCTCCAAATCTTCACATCCCAGTTCTCAGGCATACTTGTGGGCAGGGGTGATTTTCTCTCCTTGGCAAATTGCAGGTGGGTGTTTCATGCCCTCTTGGGAAACAGCTGGATAAGTCAGGGAGGAGAGTGTGATAGTTTTGTGTGGCAGCTCCTCCTCTCCCAGGTTTGCTGCTGAGGTGTGTGAGGCGATGGTGATACCCTGAGTTTCTGGCTGTGTTGCTGCAGGGAAGCTGTCGCTGTGGGTGCTGATTATTGCTCAGTGTGGGGAAAGCTTTGGGAATCTTTTACCTGATCTGGAAAAACTTGACTTCTTACTCAAGCTCATTTGCCCTAAATTTGCATAGTAAAATTAGGCTGAAAAGACTTTCTGACCTAAATACCCTAATTCAGCTTTTTTCTTTCATGCTCAGGTACTTCTGCAGCCCTGTAAGGCAGAACTTGGGATGTCCCCAGTCCCTGTCCCTTGCCCAAAATAGCTGGAAAACCCCAGAAAGGCTTGGAACAGGGCAATGAAACCCATCCCAGGGCAGACAGGGCACCTTTTTCTCCAAGCAGCAGGGATGCCTTTTGGCACTAAGGGCTTAATTGCCCTTGATACGTATAAAACACACATAGTGTGTTTATATGTTATGTGCATATATGTGTCTATGTATGTATGCAGGGAGGTGTGTACCTAGAATCATGGAATGGTTTGGGTTAGAAGTGGCATTAAAGACCATGTAGTTCCACCCCCTGCCATGGGCAGGGACACCTTCCACTGGACCAGATTGCTCCAAGCCTCATCCAACTCTTCCAGGAACACTTCTTTGGGGAACCTGTGCCAGTGCCACACCACCCTCACTGTGAAGAAACTGACATAGTTAAAACCCTGGAAACACTAAAATACAATTTGCCAAAGCCCTTTGAGATTCTCAGACATATCCATCTGTGTGTATATCCCTATATAGGAACACCTGCAGGGATACTATGCTTCCTGAGCAGTACAGCTAATCCTTGTGCACACAGCAGAGAGTCCCCCGAAGCACAGGGGACCCCCAAGATCCTCATCCCTCCCAGCTGCTGGGAGCAAGTCCCAACCCTGTGGTTCTGGGAGCTGCTGCTCCCCACAGGAGCTCCTGGCAGCACCCTCAGTGCTCCACACCCCCAAACCCTACAACTTCCTCAGTGCCCCAAACCCTGCACCCCCCAAAGCCTCACAACCCCCAAACCCTGCAGCCCCCTCAGTGCTCCCAAACCCTGCACCCCTCCAAAGCCTCACAC